TTTTATTTTAAGAAATATACATATGTACAGGGTGAGTCACAAATTACTCACCACGATTTTTCAGCCCGTTCTGATAGTCTGACAAAAAATGTTTCTTATCAAAATTAATTAGTATTTGACCGACAAGAAATTGTAATTGTTTAAATTTAAAAACAAATTGATTTTCGATAAAAAAACAAGGTTATAAAACAAGGTTATATATATATATATATATATATATATATTATATTATTATATATTTTTAAATGAAACTAGGTAATTTTAACTTCATAGTATTGTAAGCGAATTCAACGACCGACTACATGATGATCTTCACATGATATTGAAGGAAAAATTGTCATGAAGCGATTGCCACATGTATTTGATTTTATATAAATTTTTCTTTTTTTTATATGTTAAAGACTAAAATTGAATAAGTGAGCATTTGTAATGTTTGCGTTCATTCGTTTATGTTCACATGCGTGTTATGTATCGTCAAATTGTTTCAGATATTGTAATCGATTCATGGCATGTACGTTATAAATATGTATATATGTATACTTATGAATCGATTACAATATCTGAAATAATTTAAGTATAATAATTTATAAGTATACATATATACATATATACAATACTACATTCGCACTAAATTCGCAGTCGAAGTTCTCAGCATGTTTTTGTTCAATGATAAAATTTCTTTACTTTTTACATAAAACGTTGTATGTCACATTGTTAAAAAGTTGTAAATATATATACTCTGTATATTTAATTAATATTTACAACAACATTTATTAAAAAATTTTCATGCGAATTTATTGCGAATAAAATTTAAGTATTTCCAATTTTCAGTTTTTTTTTATGGTTATCTCATTCAGATGTCTAAATATGTTTCAAGAAACGTAATTAACAACTCTTCGGTTTGCCAACACAAGCTAATCTTTTAAAAAACTGAGTCTGTAAAAAATTCAAATCTGGAATATATATAAAAATTGTATTACTCACATCGTAAAACAAATACAAGTCAATTTGTTAAATTCAAAAAAATTGTAAGTATAGGGGAACAGCATGTACCCTTATTTATACATAACAATTTTCATGTTAGGTGAACAGTTATGGCGCAATGAAAAGAAGAATATTATTTACGATAGAATAGTGAAAAAAGTACACAATACACGATCTTCTGCTTCAGAGGAAATCAAACACTGATCCTTCGATACAAGATGGTAAATGGATATCCCGATATACATACACAGTGAGATGCGAGGAATCGAATACCTCTGTGGTGTATCCTTACTGATCTTGTAGATCCAGGGAATGTTCACAATGGCAGTGTTAGCATGCATCAGATAATTACACGACTGCAGAGCTTTGTACATTTAAATCACAACATAATTTCGTAAAAGCCACGAAGCGACGAAAAACCGTTAAACAATCATGAGGCAGCTAACAATCTTTAATAAAAAAAAAGACACGAAACCACTAAAAACTCTCCATTTTGAATCTTATACAATCTAAAACTAGAAAACTAGTTTATAGCAGTTACCTTAACAAAAATTTCATTTAAAAAGTCACAAATATGCACATACGACTAGTCCTAATTAGCAAGCTGTCTAATTAGAAAGACTACGATCTTTATTTGAAATGAAAATTGTCTGTATTGACCGTAATAGGTGGATATTGCACAGACATTTATTCCCTTTTTTATCAGTTTTAATAACTTTCAAAGAGTACAATAGAATTTTTAAACTCTTGTAAAGTTTTGTCTATATTGCACGCTTGCCCATTTCTGTCATAAGTATATAAAGATTTTCAGTCTAGGTATAATAAAAATTGTATAAATAAATCCGATCTTGTCATATTTATAATACTACGACAGTCACATTAATTTTAGTGTTAATTCTTTGACTTCCATTTTAACGAGGTCTTATAAGATAATAATGACGAGTCTGCAGACTTTTTATGCATCATTACACTTCTGACTCTTTGAAACTCGTCACCGAATAGTGTTAAAAAGTTTCATTACACTTGAAGAGTTCGAAGAGTTCTAAAGAATCAGAGGTATCATGTTGCATGAAATCTGTAGACTGGTTAGTACCATCTCATATATATTATTTCCATTTGAGTGTGACAGAACCGCAAATAGAATAAAGAAACTCTTCGAATCCTTTTTCGATTCTCCATATTTGCATAATTACATACACTAATTTCTGAGCTATCATCTCACGCTAGTTACGCTATGCTCGGCTTCGCCATTATTGCTGTCATAATTTGAACAAGAAGCGTGTAAAACAACTATTAAACCTTGCGCGTCCACCGCGTTTCTCTCAGATACCGATCACTGTGACCAGCCAGAGAGAGAAAAAGAGAGACTTTCTCGTTGTCGCTCTGTCCTCCTTACAGTCCGGTACTTATCGTAACGAAGAGTTGTAATCACGATATGTTGCAGAAAAAAATCTGATGAAATCGCTACTGTCCACGGTTATTCGAAAAAGACCGGTCTAGATATACTCTTCAAATAGCTATTAAATTCTATAATGAGTTAGCGACTAGTAATTACGAGTTCTACCGAAAAGTTAAGACCAGCTTTAATAGGCCTGTGTGTATTACAGACATTACATCTATTATTTGTTAATCCTTAGTACAATATAGTGTTAATTATTTGGAGTGTATACATTGTATGTACGCTTTCTATTGTAATGCAGGATATTATATTTTTGGTTAAAGGATAAAATGATTTATTTACATTTTTTTTGTACATAACGCATTATATTGAGTTAATTTCTTGTATAAAGAACAATTTATATTAAATTAATTTTATGTATAAAGAACCCATTATATTAAATTAATCAATGTAAAAAGAACAAGTTGTATTAAATTAATTGTATGTGTAAAGCATAAACTGCATTAAATTAATCTCATATGTAAAGAACAAATTATATTAAATTGCTATCTCTTAGCTATTTCTCTTCTACAAAGGACAAATTATATTATCTTAATCTCTTGTACAATGAACAAATTATATTATATTAATTTCTTATACAAACAACAAGTTATAACGTGAGATGAATTTTTCGTATAAAATCAGCTCGGTAACTTCAGTGAATTTGTTATATAAAATTAAGAAAATACTTAGCAAAAGCACCTGCTCTGTGTTCTTCACGACGGTTACTGACATAGTAATTTAAACTGCTGCTGCTGCTACTATGATTTTGATCACTATACCGTACCAATGACACTGATATAGTTATTATCATAACAGGAATGTTGGCGCATTTCTGATTAATACCGATCCTATCACGGGTGATTGACATTTTGATTATCGCTTATTAATAACGACTTCCTCGATACACTTGATATAAAGATTGACTGATAATTCTATTACTGATTAAATGGCGACACGTGCACCACTCCAATCAAACATTGATGTAATTCACTGTGAAAATAACGGGGATTATACAATATTAATTCGAGCGTAACGGTAATAATAAAGGAAGCGTGTTTGATTGATTAACATATCGGATGTATGAACTTGAATATTAACAAAGTGTCGTTTGATTTACACGATTACGAATTTTAAACTAACGTAGACTCAGCCAGAAACTGATTACATTTTAATTCAACATTTTACATTGCTTCAATTGAAAGTATGTCAGCAATTCTTATTTTTTTTATCATTTCATTTATTATCGTAGCTGTCGTCAAATCAAATAAATCTCTTAGTCAAATTGTGACTACTGAAATTGTGCTAAGCAATAATGTTGCATTTATTAGTATTTATTAACGCAATTTTCAGATAAGTGATAATTCATATAATCGTTGTAATTAGCATTACACGGATGATATCAGATTAGTTAGTATCAGAATATTCCAGGAATATGAAATGTTTTTTATGACATGTTTTGTAATGTCAAACAATTGCTTCTTTTTTTTTATTAAAGTATTAACATCATTCTGGCATCTTCAATATGTGTATATACAATAATATGTATCGCATGCAGAGTATATTTTATGGTTCGAAACGATTGATGTATAATTTTTGCTGTGCATGGTATTAATTAGCACTCTGATTCACTAGAAAAGGATTGTTTATACGATCGACTGTGGCAAATATATGCTTCCTTTTAAATCCACATAAAAATGCTGTAAATTAACAAACGAAAAATCATCTGAATACTATAAATGTGAACCCTTCTGATAAAGAAATGGTTCATTGCTCGTTGTGTGAATTTAATACACCGAGAATAATAAGCCTGAAGTACGTAATTCTAGATAATAACATTTTAGTGTTGAATTGCGGGAAAACAACAGTTCCGTTACATTCTTTACGTACCCCATGATTTTCTTTATTTCGACGTAAAGTGGATACGTCGCGTATGCACACGTCCATTTGTAATTATCATCAAGCATCGTTTACTATTTACGCGGCGGTATGCCGCGAACCAGATGTTGTCAACTATTTGTAAACACTGTCACAATATTGTGTATTTCATTCTTCCGACGATAATTCCATTCGTTAGTAGGAATGTCTGATGTTTATTGTTTCTGTTCTTGCAGTGTATTATCCATTGCCATCGAAACAAACATTCTATTCTTTTGAATTCGATCTATTTATCTTTGTCATAAACGCATGAAGTCTGGTGATACATGCTGCACGTTCAAGGAGCATACCTTTTTCTGAGAATTGCCATTTTAACACGAACGAAATGTTCCTTAGATTTTCTACCAGCTGAAATGAAACTCTGTACAAATCGACGTTAGGCAATATTTCGCAACACGTAGCAATAATGTGTAACAGAAACAGTTGCTCACCGTTGCCTCATTGTCGGTAAGAACGCGGCTTTTGGCTCGAATGACACGCGAGGTGTTCGTAAGGTCGGTCGATCTCTGTTAGCACAACTTTTCGAAATTCATCGTGTCGACAATCGACGCGCGGCCCGGACGCGACGATTACGCAGAGAAACACACGCCGCAAACTGTCACGTGGATCTACAATTTGTGGCCTCTGGGCACGCATTCGGCATTGACACGTGTGCGAACAAGTGAACCGTGGCCGTTGTTTTAACGACGCCGACATTTCCCGCCAAGTAAGCTGCCGCCGCGACCTCGGCTCGCCTGCTATCACTATCCAGCCGTGATAAGCTGGCGAGCCTGTAAAATGCAGTTCTCCTTTCGTGGCGGAGATACTATCGCCACTCGAGAACTAGAACCGAGGACGCAAACGTGCCTAGCCGCCGTTTAAACGCGATGAAAAACGTCTGCCGCCCTCGATTTCCGCATTTCTCAGATTTTCGTTAGCATGACTTTTGTTTTCGGCTTCTGTACGAGATCCGCGCAAAAGTTTGCCTAGATTGGATTACTGAAAGCGTTTTTGTGACGGCAGTTTTTAAATCGTTTACTAAATTTATGATTTGAAAGTTATTTACACTAGATCCTTTGGTCTAATAGAAAATATTAAAACTTATATAAAATTGTACAAAAATTATGCATTCTACAACAGTTATATATATAACCTTTATACAAAGGTTATGTCAAGACAAAGCAGAACGCGTCATTTGTCTTATTATTATATACTTTCTTTGTCCAACGAAAGGTTTTCCAAGAAAGTCATACAAATTCTGAAGAGAATTAACAAAATCTATTTCACACTTGAATTGAGAACTTAGATCTTTTTCGTGCTTATGAGTAAGCAGAATACCTTAATTCTTTCAATGTTTAGTTCGTATGTGGTACATTCGAGAGTCACATTGTTTAATTTATGATATCTAAGGAAAGTTTGATCTACCGTAATATAATATAATATAATATAATATAATATCTGTCTCTTATACACATCTAGATGTGTATAAGAAACAGATATTATATTATATTATATTATATTATATTATATCTGTCTCTTATACACATCTAGATGTGTATAAGAAACAGATATTATATTATATTATATTATATTATATTATATCTGTCTCTTATACACATCTAGATGTGTATAAGAAACAGATATTATATTATATTATATTATATTATATTATATCTGTCTCTTATACACATCTAGATGTGTATAAGAAACAGATATTATATTATATTATATTATATTATATTATATCTGTCTCTTATACACATCTAGATGTGTATAAGAAACAGATATTATATTATATTATATTATATTATATTATATCTGTCTCTTATACACATCTAGATGTGTATAAGAAACAGATATTATATTATATTATATTATATTATATTATATCTGTCTCTTATACACATCTAGATGTGTATAAGAAACAGATATTATATTATATTATATTATATTATATTATATCTGTCTCTTATACACATCTAGATGTGTATAAGAAACAGATATTATATTATATTATATTATATTATATTATATCTGTCTCTTATACACATCTAGATGTGTATAAGAAACAGATATTATATTATATTATATTATATTATATTATATCTGTCTCTTATACACATCTAGATGTGTATAAGAAACAGATATTATATTATATTATATTATATTATATTATATCTGTCTCTTATACACATCTAGATGTGTATAAGAAACAGATATTATATTATATTATATTATATTATATTATATCTGTCTCTTATACACATCTAGATGTGTATAAGAAACAGATATTATATTATATTATATTATATTATATTATATCTGTCTCTTATACACATCTAGATGTGTATAAGAAACAGATATTATATTATATTATATTATATTATATTATATCTGTCTCTTATACACATCTAGATGTGTATAAGAAACAGATATTATATTATATTATATTATATTATATTATATCTGTCTCTTATACACATCTAGATGTGTATAAGAAACAGATATTATATTATATTATATTATATTATATTATATCTGTCTCTTATACACATCTAGATGTGTATAAGAAACAGATATTATATTATATTATATTATATTATATTATATCTGTCTCTTATACACATCTAGATGTGTATAAGAAACAGATATTATATTATATTATATTATATTATATTATATCTGTCTCTTATACACATCTAGATGTGTATAAGAAACAGATATTATATTATATTATATTATATTATATTATATCTGTCTCTTATACACATCTAGATGTGTATAAGAAACAGATATTATATTATATTATATTATATTATATTATATCTGTCTCTTATACACATCTAGATGTGTATAAGAAACAGATATTATATTATATTATATTATATTATATTATATCTGTCTCTTATACACATCTAGATGTGTATAAGAAACAGATATTATATTATATTATATTATATTATATTATATCTGTCTCTTATACACATCTAGATGTGTATAAGAAACAGATATTATATTATATTATATTATATTATATTATATCTGTCTCTTATACACATCTAGATGTGTATAAGAGACAGATATAATATAATATAATATAATATAATATAATATGAATATAATATAATATAATATAATATAATATGAATATAATATAGTATAATATAATATAATATAGTATAATATAATATACATATATTATATAGTAAATACAATATAAGGTCATAAAAATATTAACCAAAAACGTAGATATTTCTTGCACTATACTTTTCCATTCCAGACAACATTGGAAGAGTTAGAAATGGATGAAAGTAAAAGTAATCTTGACTTTTAAAAGCGAATAACTATAAAAATATCTACCTGCATGATAAAATAGTCACTCCCTCTCTCAATAATTCATAAATATTCAACAACGAAAGAGTTATAATAAAATGCACTAGAGATTGTCCGGCATCAAGCGAATTCCCGTTAGAGTTTTGAAATTCCGAATGAGACCATGAAGAACGTGTATCGAGGTGACGGACAATGGAGTCGGTCATCGAGAAAAAGGAAAAAATAAAGTGGCAGATGGGAGACGAGGGATGATAGATCGGAGCTAAACCAAGAGACCCAGGTAGACTGCAATTCGGCGACTGTTTATGTTCCAGGTTACCGGACTACACGAAAGGCATCTTTCAGAGCATCGGCTTCAAAGAGTTCCATAGATACCTGATGTTGTCCGAGGAGGAGAAGCGGGAGAAAAAGGTAAGCAGAAGCGGCGAACTGCAACGTCGTCACGTTCGGTGCAGCTGCGCGCGATTCACCGCGATTAGCGCCGCTGGAACCGATCTCCCTGTCCACGAGAAGTTTCACACTACCGTCCATAAGTATCCGGACACCTGGCAAATGTAGACGAACGGCGCACCGTGGAGTATTTTGCTTCGGAAACTGGACAAAATGATTTTATTCGTTATTCGTTTACGACAGTTTCGCAAGAAATGCACGGGATATGAAATTTACCAAAAAAAAATTGATAAATTTTTATGAATATCATATTTAAGATGCCTTTAAAGAGGGATCATTTTTTCAAAATTGGATCAAACTACTTGAATTCTATTAAACGAGTGAAGGATTAGTCCACTAGGTAATGTGTAAACGTAATAAGTTTTACACACTGTGTTTTAGGTATCTAAAAGTTATGTGGTGCAAGTCTAGAAGAGTTACTGAAGTTTAAAGGGGTTTCCCTGATTATTTAAACTAAAAAGGTCGTACCTGATTATTTAAAGTATTTAGACTGCGAATTGTCGTGTAAAATAAAAATTGTTTCCATCGATTCTAAGGATCAGAAGCTGCTTATTGGAACTTTTGCTAAGGTGAATGCAACACACCGATATTCTTAAATTCTTTCAATCTTTTCTCTGTCTTAAAACTTATACCTAATCATATTTGTCACAAATGCGTGAAACCCGCGATCTACTAATTATAATGTTAATAACCATTTGGAATACTTTGTGACTAAGACGAAAGACAAAGAACGAACTGATAGCTGAAGTCGTGCAGAACTCGATTTTTTACGGCACATCACTGCGTACAGTCTCACTGCAACAATTTTATTAATGTCATTGTTGCAGCGGTTTCATTAATGCGATCTACCGACAAATAATAGTCACGTTGTTCCGTGATGACATAATATTCAAGGAACAACGTATTGAACAAATGAAACAACATTGCTAGTAGAACATTTCGATTATGGTCCGTATAGTTTCATCATGTCTGCGGATACTTTTGGACGATAGTGTATACGCCTGACCGCTGCCAAAGGGCTGCCACCGTCGTTGCTTTTGTTGGACGTTGAGGATCGAGTGGTTTTGATACAGGAATTTTCTTTTTCTCCGCATTCCTTCCCCATTTTCCTCCTTTCTATTTCTGACGCTTCCGTTACGCGATGCCAGCTAGAAATTTGCGCACACTCATAGCGATCACAGGAAACTAGTAATTCCTATCTAGGGGAAAAGGGGGCAAGACGGAGGTGGTGTTCATTTTTGTGTGGAAATATTGCCACTTGAAAAATTCTGTGAACATTAATTTTTAACGGCTCGTAACGTCTTTATAAGTGCAGTGACCATCCTTCTGTTTCTCCTAATTGTGAAATCTGCTTCCTAGAATTTTCTGTATATAAATTCTTGGACAGTTACAGTTTTTACGAAATTGTAACTAAATGCCCTTAGGATCATTTATAATTTTATTTTTCAATTAAAATTATGGGTCAATCAACGAGACTGTTACTAGTTTTTATTCATTTTCGTTTCAATTTTGATAATGTATGAGTTTTACGAAGCATATGTTTTTTAATGTAATTATAAAATTATAAAAAAATAAATTGCAAATTATAAATTGTATGTATTCATAAAAAAGATGTGTAGGAGAAATCTAAAATCGTAGAGAGATTAAAAGATATTAAGAATATCAATATTCTATTTGCAAATTATTCTAATGATTGAATAGAGAAATAAATTTCTATTTGATTTTATTAGGTCATTAGGTATGAAATGCATATATTTTATAGTAAAATTATACGGTATTGCCCAATTAGGCTTTAATCTCTTTATAAAACAAGAACAGTTACAATAAATTGTAACAGTATAATTTTAACAGTATAATAAATGAGCGACCTCTGTAATCTTCCATAGTAATTGGTTAAGTTGTACATTTATGTGTGTATGGCACTTAAGGTTTGAAATATAGCACCTGGTAATGAAGTTA